TACTCTCCCTCCTCTTGTTCTGTGGTTTTGCTTTGATAGTTTTGTGTGTGTGTGTGTGTATGTGTGTGTGTGTGTGTGAGTGTGTGTGTGTACCAGTATTGGGGCTTGAACTCAGGGCTTCATTCTCTCACTTAGCTTTTTCCGCTCAAGGCTAATGCTCTATCATTTGAGCCACAACCTCTACTTGCAACTTTATGCTGATTAATTGAAGATAACTCTCAACAGACTTTCTTGGCCAGGCATTTTGAACTCAAACCTCAGATCTCAGCCTCCTGAGTAGCTAGGATTATAGGCATGAGCTACAGGCCCCTAGCTTTGGGTTCTGTTTGTTTGTTAGTACTAGGGTTTGAGCTCAGAGCTTTGAGGTTCTTTGGATGGCAATCTACTCTACCACTTAGCCATGCATCTAGCCTGGCTTTTTGCTAGTTATTTTGGAAATAAAGTAGAGGATTTCTTTTTTTCATTTTATTTGTTTACAGTAGTAAACAGGCTGGGAGCGGGAACTTTGAAAGTTATAGATCAATGAGTTACAAGACAAGACACTGTTTCAAAAGGAAAACAAAATAAAAATGGGCCAGTGACTCACTCCTGTAATACTACTTACTCAGAAGGCTGAAATCTAGAGGATTTCAGTTCAAGACCAGCCTGGAAATCTAGAGGATTTCAGTTCAAGACCAGCCTGGACAAAAAAGTTCTTAAAAGGGGAGGGGGGATGCAACTGATTGGAATATATTGTAAATATGTGTGGAAATGAAACAATGAAATTGCCCTCTGTATAATTACTGTAAACAAATAAAATGAAGAAGAAAAAAATCCTCTACTTTGTTTCCAAAATAACCAGCAAAAGCCAGGCTAGTTGCATGGCTCAAGTGGTAGAGTAGATTGCCAAAGAAACTTATAAGCTCTGAGCTCAAACCCTAGTACTTGCAAACAGAACCCAAAGCCAGGTGCCAGTAGCTCACACTTGTAATCATAGCTAATTAGGAGGCTGAAATATGAGAATCCCACTTCGAAGCCAACCCACCCAGAAAAGCCCACGAGACTATTTTTTTTTTTGTTGTTGGTAATGGGGCTAGAATTATGGGCCTGGGCACTGTCCCTCAGCTCTTCAGCTCAAGGTGAGCACCCTACCACTTGAGTCACAGTGCCACTTCCTATAAGACTCTTACCTCCAATGAACTACTCAGAAAAAGCTGGAAATGGAGCTATGGCTCAAGTGGAAGAGCACTGGCCTTAAGCAAAATGAAGCTTAGGGTCAGCACCCAAGCCCTGAGTCTGATCCCTAGGACCAGTACACACATACACACATACACTCACACACACACACACACACACTCTTTCTCTCTCTCTCTCTCCTACCCTAGCCACTTCTGTGCTAGGATTCATTTTTACCACTGCAATTAATTGTGTTATGCTGTTTCCAATCAAAAATGGATTTCAGAGCTGGGTGCCAGTGGCTCACACTTGTAATCCTAGCTACTCCAGAGTCTGAGATCTGAGGATCACAGTTCAAAGCCATTCCAGGCAGGAAAGTCCTTGAAACACTTATCTCCAATAAACTACTCAGAAAAAGCCAGAGTGGCGCTGTGGCTCGCTGTGGCTCAAGTGGTAGAGCATTAACCTTGAGCACAAAGAGACTCTGGGACAGCACCCAGGACCTGAGTTCAATCCCCAGGACTGGCAAAAAAAAAAAAAAAAGACTTCAGGTGTGGGGGTGTGGCTCATTGTTAGAACAAGTGCCTGTCTGTCATATGCAAAGCTGTAATACCTAGCACTACCAAGAATTGGTGGAGGTTCATAAAAGATTTTCTTCATGAAACCAAGGTTGTTGTTTTTTTTTTTTCTTTTTAGAGACAGGGTTTTGCAATGTGGCCAAGGCTGGCCTTGAACTCAGTGTGCAGCCAGGTTAGCCTCAAACTCAAAATACCCCTAACCTCAGCTTCTCAAGCGCTAGGATTAGTTATGTCCCACCACACCTGCCAGGGACTTTGTTTTCTACATCAACTTATTCCCAGTACCTGGAACAAAGTAGACATGCTGTTGAGTGACTGAATGAGTGGACAAATGAATATTTTCCATCTATTCTTTATGTTGTATTTGTTACCCTACTGGTGTGTTTATGTTCTTAGACAAGGTATGTTGTTCTCTGTGAAAGTCGCCAGCATCTTCAAATAGCTGCAAAGACACACAAGTTGCTGCACATATGAGAAGCTGTAGCTGATGTGCTGTTAATATCAGGTGGCTGGCAGGGAGTCTGTGGATGCCAGCACTCCGAGGGGGTGTGTCCCAGGGCACTGTGCAGTATGTGCTGTTCCTCTTCCCAGCTGTGCATCTGTCCCCAGGTGTCTTCCTGTCTCTCAGCATGATAGGATGTCTTGGCTGCTTTGGGGAGGTGTTTGTCACAGACTATCCCCACTCCTCTTCCTTCTTGTCTACCCACCTGTACCTCTAGCTATAGATGTCAGGGCCACTCTCCCTCAGCTCCCTTGCCCCCTCACACATACAGCCCTGCCCCATTCTTGGACCCCTCCCTTTCTCAGTGGGCCCTGTTGCTGGGCTCGGTGTTGCCATAGTGACGGTTGCCAAGTCCCTGAGGCTGATAGCCAGCGATGGGGCTGTCGGCTCCATCCACGCGGGAGGCTGAGGGGGGCTTCCCATTGTGTGGAGAAGGGGATGTTGCCAAGACAACCAACCCCCACTAAGGGCCAGGGGCCAGCCCTTCCAGCCCCCCCTCGAGCCTCCCCACTTGGGGCAGCTCCAGTGTGGGCTTAGAAGGCAGGAGTAAATTTCAGAGGGCCCCCTGTACCTGGCCACCCAGTTTTTACCTCCTCTCCTTCAGTGCCTGTACCTCTTGAGGCAGGGGGAGGAGACAGGGGTTCCAGTGGACAGAGGAAGGGAAAGGGGACCCCTTGACCTCCAGGCAGATGGGAGACAGCAGGAGGGAACCTAAAGTTAGGGGAGGGGCAGGAAGGGCAGAGGTTGTGACCCCTGCTGACTCGCTCCAGTGATGCTCTTGACGGCTGCTTTTGTGGTTGGAGAAAGGGGTTGAGTCTAGGGAGCTGGGCACCTGGGCTTTTGGTAGGGAGAAGAGGCTGGTTTATGGGTAAAAAAAAAGGCAGCCAGGAAACAGGCACTTGACGCCTGGGCCCTTCAGTCCTTCTTAAATTCTCCTGATCTATTCAATTCCTTTTCATGTGTCCCCAGTAGCAAAACTCGAGTTAGAGGTGCCTTGAGGAAAGGTGGTAGGGAATAGAACGTTAAATATGACATGTTTTCTTCGCTTTGTTTCCTAATTTTGACTTGTTTCCCCTCCCAGGTGTTTTGGTTTCTTATTCTCCCCACACATTCTTATCTGAGTGTCCTGTCAATCCTTCTTGCCTGCATTCCTCTCCCTCCCAGGCAGGTGCTCGCCTCCCTGAGCCTCCTCTCTTACTCCATGATGCCCTCCCCATGCATTGCCCCCCTCCTCGCCATTCCAACCCACCCACTTTCCCATCCCCTTGCTTTCGTGTGATCCAACCCTCAGTGTGGAAACCACCCTAGCCACAGATTCATGCGCAGTCCTTCTCCAGCCTTCTCGTCAACCTTTTTTAGTTTTTTTTATTTCTTTTTTTTGTTCTGTTTTTGTTGTTCAAATTTCCCTTTTACAGTAAAACTATCGAGGTGACGGCCGTACCCCGCCACCTCCCTCATGGCAAGATCAACTTCCTGTTCCCCGGAAGGAGCTGGGAACTACAGCACCAGAGAGATGATTTGATCTCTGGTAGACAAAGCAACCGTCTTGGCTGGTGATTGAGGTGGCCAACTTGGTGCCCAAGGGCAGCTTTGAGCTAATAAAATTGAGCTGGGAGGAAACTGAGGCAACAGCTGATTGTGCACTAGAGAGCAGGAAGAGGTATAGGCTGGTCACTATAAAAACAGAGGCCCTTGCTAAGTACCACTGTCAGCTAGACCAGTTGGTAGGCCACCATTTTGGTCACTAAAAAGGGAGCTGTTTGAGTTTGAAGGGAGAATAGGATGAACAAGACAGCCATGTAGTCACTGGGGGAGAAGAACATGGGCTCTTGGGGGTAGTCCTGTTGATCAACGGAGATTATACTGGGGTACAGGAAGGGAAGAACAAGACAAACTGGGCCTGCCACCAAAGATGGCAGTCATCTTAGCTGTCCTAAAACCACACAGAGCACAAGGGAAGGGAGATTTCAGGGGTGGGGGGGAAGTGCCACTGAATACTAGGAAAGTTCAGTCCGCCTCTGTCCTCTCACAGTCATTAAGTTCCAGCTTCCTCCTGAAACAGGGAGTTCTGTCCCCCTTCTCCACAGGGTAAGAACCATCCACCTCCCACCCCTCCCAAATCCCCAGACTAAGCCACTTGGAGTTCCAGCCAGACACCACTTCCTGTTTCAGAAGTGCTACTTCCTGTCCTGGATGAAGGCACTTCCAGTTCCTGCTGCACTGCTTCTGCCACTCTTCCCAGGCCATTTCTGTCCAGGCCTGGTCACTTCTTGTCTGGAGCAAGTCACTTTCTGTCCCAAGTGGCCCATTCAGCATCAGGCCAAGTCCATCATGTCCCCACTGGTTCATATCTTGCTATCAGCCACTGGATAAAACAGGACACTTCTTCCCATGGTAGCTGTCATGACCCAACCACCCCAAATGGCTGGAGTAAGTACGTAGAGGCCTGGGGCAGGGCAGAGAAGGAGGCCCTGCTGCCCATACCCTGAGCTGGGGTGGAGTGCCACAGTCTTCCCTATAAGGCCCCCATTTTGGGTGGACTAAGGGGAGCAGTTGATATGAAAGGTCAGAAGGAGAGGCCAACAGCTAAGGGGGGGGGGGGGGGAATGCTTTGATGCCACACCCAGGAGATAGGAGAGGCACAGGTTAAGAAGCCAAGAGGGCAAAAGGAGATGTAAGGAGGAGGATGCTAGGGAAGAGGAACAGAACAGACCTAGAAGCAGGAGAGAGAGAAAGAGAAAGAAAGAATAAGAGATAGAGACAAGAGAAAAACTGTGAGAGGCAGAAAAGACAGAGGTGTCAACCAAAAGACAGACTGTTCCCATCCCTACTCTGGGTGGTTGAGGGCAACAAGGGGGGCTGGGCCATGGTCAAAGAGGAGGCTGAGCCTGTGCCCCCTCCCCATAGGATAGAGACAGAGGGGTGCCCACGGCCAAACAGGAGAGCAAGAGAAGGTACAGTGGAAGTCTTAAGGGAGCCTACAAGTTGAGACAAGGGCCACAGCCAGGAGGAACAAAGGAATTGATGGGGCAGAGGGGCCAGAGGAGATGCCAGAGGTGTCCTCATACCACGAATTAAACTAGAGGAACACCCCCCCAAAGAGGGCTGGATTCAGGAGAGCCAGGTGGGAAGAGCCCTCATACCTTATAGTAAATGTTCGGAGGGCTCTGGGGGGGCCCATCCTGCACTATGTACACAGGGTGCCCATAGTCACCACTCACCTTCTCATAGTGGGGGCAGAAGGGAGGATCTGCTGCCCCACTGCCCCGCAAAGCAATCCCTAGCTCCCCAGGCTCAGCCTCCCGAGCTCCCATCCCCCCACCGCCCCCCAAACCCAAAGACCCTCCCCTCCCAAAGGAGCCAGGACCAGGGTGGCGACTCTCCGAAGGCTTGGCCCGCCGTCTCCGCCAACACATGGCACCCCCAGCCCCTGCCACGCCCAGCAAGAGCAGCGCCAGCCCCCCAGCTGCCCCAGCCACTGCGGGCATGCTGGGAGGGGGCAGGGGGCCTTCAGCACCCCTGGAGGTTGCATTGCTGGTGGGGTCACCTGGCAGGGAAGGGGTGAAGGAGGAAAGAGGGGGAGGGGCTGAAGGAGCAACCTGGACATCTGGACACCCAGCCCTGTGGGGAGGGGGTCCCCACAGTCTTCCCCAGCAGTGCCCGGCCCCCTTGTGAACCTCATGTCCCCTCCCAAGCCCAGCTCAGAATCCAGGTGTCCAGCCTGCAGCTCCCTGCCACGTCCTCCCCACTTCTCTGACAGCACTGATTGAAGCACTGACTTGGCTAATTAGTTCTAATTGAGTCTTTTCCTCATTTGGCTCCCATTCCCTTCCCACCCTCCCATCCTCTCTTCTCCTCTTTCCTGTGTCACCGCCCCCAAACCAGGAGAGGGAAAGAAGGGAGCGGGTGAAGGCAGGGCAGCTGGGGTCTGAGAGCAGAGAAGGCAGGGACTGGCCCCCTGGTTCCTACCTGGCATGCTCTCCTTCCCAGGGTCCAGGCTGTGGGCTGCCCCTCGGTCTCTCTCCATGGGCACTTCAGACACAGGTTTGCGGGGGAGAGTCCCTCCTCGGGGACCTGGACCCAAGAGAGAGGGGCTAAGACAACTGCTCCTGACCATGTTGGCATTGATCATGGCCCCTGATCATGATGACACTGCCTGTGTCTTCCTCAGCCCCACTCACTTTGTCCCACTCGGAGAAGCACCTTCATGCCTCTGGTGAGGCACACACCTCCCTGCAAGCTTTCCAGGCCTTCCCGAGTCCCATCTGAAGTGGCTAGGAGAGAAGAGCAGAGGGAGAAGTGGGCATTGTGAGACCCAGCTCCTCTTCGGTCACCATACCCTAGCAAGAGCACCACTGAGAAGCAGGAGGTCTCCATGTGGACTTAATGGTCCCCATTACGCCTACCCTGCATCCCAGGGACAATGCGCCCTTTCCCCGCAGCCCGGCAATACCAATTATGTAGTAATCATGGTGCGAGCGGAACTCGTGGCCCCAGAGGTTAGGGCTGTACTCCTGGAATTTGATGGTGAAGCGGAGATCCAGGTCCGGCCGGTCACAAGTAAGAAGGAGGTTTGGGGCAGGGGGTGCCTCACAGCGTCGGCCTTGGGCACCCCCTACCAGGTACAGCTTGTAGAACTCATAACTAGGAGAGGAGTGGGGGCCAGGAGGCCGGGCCCGGGGACAAAGCAGGTCTAGCCTGTCTCCAATCTGAGGGTAGAGCACATAACCACCCTCCGCCTGGAACCTATAGGGAAATGGGCAGAGGAAACAAGGAAGAAGAGATGTCAGGGGTGTGGTACCCAGAGCTTTCCCTCCCTCGCCCACAACAATTCTCAGCTCCCGCCCAATGCCTTTGTCTGGGTAGAAAGTCAGTTCTGTGAACACAGGCGCCAAGGGCTCTGGGTGCTCACATCAGAAGCCACAGGAGGCCAGGCGCAGAGGTCTCTTGCCCCTTGGTGTGCCCAAATGCACTCTTCAGCCCGCCCTCACCACATGCACACTGCCATCTCCCGCTCCATCAACGGGCGCCGTTGTCATGGCAACAGGATGCCAGTTACCAAGGAGCTGGCCTCTCTGGAACCACATAGCCCACCCCTCCCAGGTGATTTCACTACTCCATGGCAGTCAACCATAGGGGCACAGACTCCCCTCCTCCTACCAAATCTCAGGGATTGGAGGCAAAGGAGACAAGAGGGATGGGAGAAAAGGTGTAGAGGGTGTTCAGTGTCCCAAGTTAGCCAGATGAGACAGGAGACAAATTCTGGCTTGGCAATGACCATCAATGAAGCTAATGGGGAACCAAGGTGTAAGGACCAGCTTTCCCAGGTCATTTACCTGCCAGTCCCCCCACCTTGGGGCTCAGACTTCTTGTGGAAAGTGTTCTATTGCTTTGGAGTTTAAAGTAGTTGACTTCTTCTAACCACAACTGACAAAACCAGCATTCCCTTGGCCAGTGGGCCTGAATACTCATGGAGCCAACACAGCCTCAACTTGCTAACCACTGAAATTCTCCCAGTGCATTCATAACTGAGACAGGATCCCAGGGGACTGCTGCCAGGAATCTTCCCAGACTTCCAAAGACCCTCCTCTTCCCTCCCCTTTATCTTATAAAAATGCCCCAGGATACCAACCCTATCAGAATAAGCCTATTTTATATGTGGATGGCATGCACATCAGGCCACACCTGGTCTAACTCCAGCAAGGAGTTGACAGGTGGGAGAGCATGAATAAGGAAAAGACACTGAGATTATCCCCCACAGAGATATGGGAGGGAGAAAGGGATGCGGGACAGGGATGTAAGAGAGGCTAAGAAGCAAAATGAACAATAAGCCTGGCTCTCCTATCGTGAGTGTATAATATGCCCCAACACCTTACCTCTAATCTTCGTTAACACCTGTAAGAACTAAGGATACAAATTCAGAAAGGTTAAGTGAGAATCCCTAGGCCACTCAGCTGAAAGCAACAGAACCTAGAAGTAAGACCAAGGATGGGCTAGTCTCAGAAGCCCACTCCGCTTCCATGGCCTCCACCAGCTTCCTCAGGAAGTGGGAAGAAGGGAGAAAGTTTTCAAAATGCAAGAACTCATTTTTTGCTAATGGGAACAGGAACTGCATGGAGGCCAGGGACCCAGATGACCTCTCAAAGGTCCTGTCCTACCCTGTGAGGCTTGAAGTTTCATTTGACCCCTGGCCTCTTTTCAGAGCAAAGCAAGCATGCCACAGGGCAGAGGCCCTGATGGAAGAGTATGCAGTAAAGGGGCGGGGGGGGGGAGAAGGGGGAGTCACAGAGTCCTCAGGACTCCGGAGGCAAGAGGGAAGGAGGGAGGCTTGCAGGGACTCAAGACTTCTTCCAGAAAGAAGTCTCCAAGCCAGGAAGGTAGGAATATGCTCTGGCTGCAAACTTGTTCACCAAGGATTCACCCACCCTCTCTGGTTGGAAACAAATAGTGAAGTCAAGGGAAGTTGTTCCCAGTCCCCGTCTCCCCCACCCCCAACAGAACCCCTTCCCTCCCATCTCCACCAGCAAGTCCCTCTTGGGAGAGAGGCACCCAGCCTTTCCCGTCAGCAGCACCTACTCAGCGGCTCTCTCCTGAGAACTGACATTAACCAGGCTCCCCTGAAGCCGATGACACAGGTCTCCCACAGATCCAAATAACCACTCAGCTGCCCTCCTACTGCCTGTGAACTTTCCCTATCTGCCCCTTTGGGGTCTCCAAACTCCTGACACATGGCCCATCACCACCCACCTCATGCTCTATGTGGGACCCAGGAATCTGGCTCTCAAGATCACACTGCTCTATAGGTAGCCCGGCACCCCCACGTCAAGGGCTCCAGCCCCCTCCCTGCAGGCCTCCTTCCCTGCCCAGAGAACCCAGGCCCCACATCCCAAAGCCCTCCACACCCCCTACCGCAGGGGTCTCCCCAACCCCAGGCCACTCACCTCTTATTCGCCGAGTTCCAGTAGACAGGCTCCAGGCTGAGACCCGACACCAACCCCAAAAACCCCAGCAGCAGCAGGGCCCCGACTTGCACGCCCCCCGGCCCAGAATGGGGGGCCCCCATGACCCCGCCAAGGCCTGGGGGGCGGGGCACCAACTCCCCCAAAGTCGCTCACCCCCCAGGGGTGACTCTCCTTTGGCTGCTTGGCTGTGGAGCCGGATCACCCCAGTGGGTGACTGGTGCCCCCCAACTCCCACGCGGACCCGCTTCCCGCTCTTCCCTGCGTCCGGGTTCCAGTGCGCTCAGAGCCCTTCCAGGGGGCCGTCTGCAGGCGCCCTGCGCGCCCCTGGCCCGCGCGCCAGCACCCCGGGATTTGTGTGCCAGCCTAAGTAGGGGACTGGGGGGGCCGGGGGCCGGACGGGGGCGACATGGGGCGCCGGGATCGGGCGCGAGGAAGGGGGACGCCGAGCCCGAGCCCCAGCCTCGCCGGGATTGAGGGCAGCGGGCTAAGGGAGGAAACCAGTCCCGAGCCCAGGAGGGGGGAGTTAAAGGAGAGGCGGGGAGGGGGAGTGGATGGCGGAGGGAAAAACCGGAGCTGGAGCTGCGCCGGAGCGGGCGGCAGCATCCCGGGCCCACGCCCCCCACATCTCCCTCACCTCGCGCACCTCCCGCCCGCGCGCCGCCCCGCCTCGCCGCCTGGCGCGGTCTCTCGCGCCCCCTTTGTCTCTCCGACCGTGTCTCTGGCTGAGCCAGTGCCTGTCCAACCTCTCCGACCGCCGGCCCGAGCGCCTGGAATCTTCCTCTCCCGAATCCAGACAGGCTCTCGCCCTTTCCACCCCGGGGAACCCACCACCACCCCCCTTTCGCTCCTGCAGCCTCCGCCTCCTCCGCCCCCAAACACCGCCGGCGCCCCCGGGAAGGCCAGGCACCCTGACGCAGCCCGCCACGACTACCTGTGCCCAGCGGGAGGGGCAGAGCGACCGAGCCCATTGTAGTGATGGGGAAACCGAGGTTCGGGGAGGACCCGGAGATCTGCCCAAGGTCACTCAGGGAGTCTGGCATAAAGCCACAAGCCATCCCCAGGTTGCTGAACCTCAATTCCTGGGGTCTCTGGTCCACCGTTCCTGGACGCTTTATTTGATAAGCGGGCATCACCTGAAAGGCAGACCAAGGAGTGAACTTGGGCCTTTCTTAAGTGCTTGTTGTGAGAACAGGGTACCTACAACCCTAAAGCCGCACTCTGCCGGAAGGGCTGTTTCCAATTATCCTAGGGGAAGGGAGGAGTGGCCTTTTTGGGGTCTAAGAACACAGGCTTTCAGCACCTCCCAGCAGGGGCGACATTCCTCTCCTTCCAGCTCAAACCTCCACAGGCTTTTCCCTTCCCTTTGATTGTGAGGTCCCCATCACATCTCCTGCTGACAGCAGCTCTTCAAAGTCCCCCTTCATGGTTCTTGGCAAGGTGTGTGGGGCGAGGGAAAAGCAGACAAATGGAGAAGGAAGACCAGCACCAGCTGTGGAATGAATGAGTAAGCCTCTTGCCCTGGTCCTGCATCTAACGGGAGACAGACGGCTCTAACAGGAGACAGATCACTCTATTTTTTGGCACCTTTACTCTTTCCTGTGTGTCCTTCACTGTGGCTACTGGGTTGCCTGTCTCGCGGGGGAGGGGGAGAAGGAGAGGAGGGGTTCCAGGGGAGGCAGGGGAAGAGTATCCCACACCCCTTCCCCAGAGCTAAATAATGGTCCCTCTGCTGCTGGATGATGGTAAATAATGTGGAGTAAGCGTTGTCTTGTCTGTCACAGCCTGCACAGTCTCACACTGTCACACCCAACAGTCTGACACAGAGCTCATACCACCCTTGCTCAGCCCTGCTCACCCTGACCCCTGCTGCCCACCTTGGAAGTGAGATTTCAAACAGGTTTCCCCCCCTTCAGTTTACCTAGTTGCCTAGCAACCAGCTAGTCAATGGCATGAGGCCCCACCCCCACTCACTTGACTTCACACCAATCTCGGCCACCCCATTGGTTCCTGCCTGGTCCCACCTCTCAACCCCTGGTTTCAAGAACAATATGCCAGTCCCCACCACAGCTGGACAAGGGACCCCCACTAGCCTCCTACCCTGCCCCCAACCATCATTTGCCTCCCTAAACAGACAAAAAGACTCAAGTATCACATAAAACCTTTTTATATAAGCTCATCCCCACTGCCTTCTGTCCCTCCTGGTTCCTTCTGGCCCTGGTCCTCATCAGGGCAGCTGGGATCTGGCCCTCTCCCACACCACCAGAGCTGCAGCTGACATTCAAGGTGACTATGGCGCAGGGAGAGCAGGGGAAGGTCCGGATCCTGCTCCCCTTCATCCTCACTGGCGGTAGGCTCAGGAAACACACGTTGACCGGAAGCAGTGGCCAGCAGCGGCAGGCTAGGGTGCAGGCTGGAGGGGGAGAGACAGGCCAGGTCTATCAGCCAGGATGCTTGCTTCCCAGAATGCGCATCTTCCAGCCCCCACCCCAAGCTCTAGAAGTTAACTGAGGACCTCACTCCGTTGGTACAGTCTTGCTGGGGCACAAAACTCAGCACGGGCTCTGGCTTCCCATTATCACAGGACCCACTGATGTCCCAAACGGAGACGACCCCATTGGTACCGCCGCTCACTAGGAACTGCCCGCTCCTGGGAAAGAGATAACTTGTAGCTTGACAAGCATCACCTCGAGGACAGAAATCCCTCACGTCCAGGGGCTGGGACTCTGCAGTTGTCTCTGACATCCTTGGGGGCAGCGGGGTCTTAGGCCAGAAGGGGTAACAGCCACTCACGGGTCCAGATCGAAGTAGATCCGCTGATTGGTGGTTACCTCCCTATTCAAAGACCACAGCGGGTGGCCAGGCTGCCGGAGATCCCAGCAAAGCAGCTCAGCATCCTGAAGATACAAAAACAAGGACCTGGAGCAGCTGTGTCTCCCTCCCCCCCCCCCCCCCCCCCCCCCCGCCCAATACCTCAATATCCCTACGACCCCCAAGCCTGGCATTCCCCAACATATTGCAGACTACATTCCCACTCCTGCCCTACAGTCCACCCATCTGAGTTGGGCTCTCAGCATGTATCCTCACCTTTCGGGCTCCCGAGAAGAAGCGGTTGCCATCAGGGTGAAAGCAGAGGTGAGTGATGCCCCCTTGGTGCCCTCCGAACAAGGCTAGAGGGGTGCCATCCTCCCGGGCATACAGGCCCAGAGAGCAACTGTAGGAGCCACAGGCATAAAGGGGCTGGGCTGGGCTGAAGGCTATGCAGGAGATGATGCCACTCTGGCCTTGCTTTTTTGCTAAGGAAGGAACAAGGAGCAGATGATGGCCTCTGTTATCTAACTAAAGACCTCTGTCCCCTGCCTCAGCACCAACATTCTGGGACTCAACATCCCACCCTGTTTCCACATACATGATGAGATCTTTCATGTTCCCGGACCCTTCAGAACCCCCAAAGGACCCAACTACCCAAGGTCTCCTTCGCTCTCAAATTCCAGGTTTTCCTGGTAGGGATGGAGAGCTGAAGACCTATAGAGGATGGACTCAGCTTCATCTCAAATGTTCTACAGGAGTGGCAGAGTGCAGTGATAAGAGTGCTTGCTTGCATGTTGCATGCTGGTAGCTCATAGTTGTAATCCTAGCTACTCAGGAAGCTGAGATCTGAGGATTGTGGTTTGAAGCCAACCCAGGCAGGAAAGTCTGTGAGATTTTTTTTTTGTCAGTCCTGGGGCTTGAGCTCAGGGCCTGGGCACTGTCCCTGAGCCTCTCTGTGCTCAAGGCTAGCACTCTACCACTTGAGCCACAGCTCCACTTCTGGCTTTTTCTGTTGATATGGTACTGAGGAATCCAACCAGGGCTTCATGCATGCTAGGCAAGCACTCTATCACTAAGCCACATTCCCAGCCCCAGTCTCTAAGACTTTGATCTCCAATTAACCCTCAGAAAACCGGAAGTGGCTCTGTAGCTCAAAGTGGTAGAACGTTAGCCTTGAGTGAAAGAGCTCAGGGACAGCACCCAGGCCCTGAGTTCAAGCTCCACAACCAACAACAACAACAACAAAAAAGGGTGCTTGCCTAACACAAGATCCTGGTGGGCCAGGCACCGGTGGCTCACACCTGTAATCCTAGCTACTCAGGAGACTGAGATCTGAGGATCACAGTTCAAAGCCAGACTGGGCAGGAAAGTCCATGAAACTCTTACTTCCAATGAACCACCAGAAAACTGGAAATGGTGCTATGGCTCAAGCAGTAGAGTGCTCACCTTGAGCTCAAGAGCACAGGGATAGGTGACCCTAGGAAAATGTTGTTCCTGCTTTTTCCCCCTCTACAACCAGGTATAACCTCCCAGGTCTACTGAGGATGAAGCAGAACCTCAGGGCGTCTCCTGGCTCTCGGGAGGTCCCTTGTGGCTGATATTCCAGTTCCTCCTCCCTTGGAGGCACGGATGCTTACCAAACGTGGCCCGCACCTCACAGTCTCGACCGGGCCTTGACGTGGAGAAAATCCGCACCGTTCTGTTGAAGCCACAGAAGAGGTGGGAGCCATCCGGGGAGAAGCAGAGTGAATGGGCTGCTGTCAGCTCATCCTAAGGGCAGGAAAGGGCTGGACGTGGGTCTTGCAAAGCCTCCGCTCTTCTCAAAGGAGGAGGGCAGGTCTAGGAACAGTGCCAGGCTAGATGGGAAGGTGGGTACCAGGTGGTTGTAGGCGCGAAAGGAAGCGCGGAGCTCTCCAGTGAATGCATCCCAGATATGGATTGGGTTCTCCCGACTGCTGCTGGCCACACTGAGAGAAACATGGACACTGAGGTCCTGGTGCTGTCAAAGGAAGGGGAGGAAGCCAACTGACCAGCCCTCTCAGCTCCCATCAGAAGGGCACAATGACCCCCTTTCTCCTCCCAATATCCCTGGCAGCCCAAGTCTCAAAAGAAGTCCTATCAAAATTGGGGAAAGAGGCTGGGCGCCAGTGGCCTGTAATCCTAACTACTCAGGAGGCTGAGATCTGAGGATCGTGGTTCAAAGCCAGCCCAGACAGGAAAGTTCTTTTTCTTTTTCTTTTTTTGTCAGTTATGGGGCTTGAACTCTAGGCCTGGGCGCTGTCCCTCAGCTCTTCAGCTCAAGGCTAGCACTCTACCACTTGAGCAACAGCACCACTTCTGGCTTTTTCTGTTTGTGTGGTGCTGAGGAATCGAACCCAGGGCCTCATGCACATGAGGCAAGCACTCTACCACTGAGCCACCTTCCCAGCCCCTGACAGGAAAGTTCTTATCTCCAATTAACCACCAGAATACCAGAAGTGGCACTATGGCTTAAAGTGGTAGATGCTAGCCTTAAGCAAAAGAGCTCAGAGTCAGTGTCAGGACCCAAGTTCAAGCCATGACCCACAAAAAAGGCGGGGGGGGGAGACTGGGGAAAGAGAGGGTGACAGCAAAGGACATTACTTACTAGGAGGTGTCTGGCTGGGCTGAGGACATCAGAGAATACCAGCAGTAATCATAGATAGTGTCTCCCTCCATCATTCGAAGGACAGGGGCCTAGACAGAAGTATGAGAATGTCAGTGTCACTAGCAGAGGAAAAACATCAGAGGCTCATGACCTAGATTTTTGGCAGAGGGGGAAATTGACCAGGTAGGAGAAGGCAGATAGGGTGTATATAAAGAACAGAATGATGACAATGATGATGATATTATTAATTAGTTGAGTTTCCATTGTCACCTTTCCACATATTTACAATTCTCACTCTCTTTGTCACTGAAATTCCAAGACAATTTCAGCACATTTTCACTGATCAACTTTCATAGCTGCAAATAATCTATTTCTACTTAACTCAACCTTTTTCATTCTTCTAGTTAGCCCAACCCTCCCTTATTAGCACCCACCCCCCCCAAAAAAAAAGTCTCATCTTGTATGTTTGCTCAAGGCTGGTGTTCTACCACTTGAGCTATGTTCTCAGTCTACTGGTTACTTAGAGGTGGAGTCTCTTGGACTTTTCTGCTTGAGCTAGCTTCAAACCAAGATCTTCCAGACCTCAGCTTCCTAAGTAGTTAGGATCATTATCTCAATGTTTAAACATTGACTCAGCCTCTTATGTCAGACTTAGACCACCAAAAGCTGTATATAGATTCATGAACTTTTCTTTTTATAAAAGTAACAAGGAAGAAACAAAGACTACCCCTACTTGGAGGCAAAGAACCAACCAATAATACAAATACTAAAGCTCCTAGTTTTAATATTTTGTAAATCCTTTAGAATAATTATTAGGGCTGGGGCATAGCTCAGTGGTAGAACACTTGTGCTGGGTTCAATCTCCAGCACCACAAGATAGACAATCACAAAAACTCTCTGACCTTTCCATCCATCTTTAGGAAAAATCTTTTTGCAGGGCTGGGAATGTGGCTTAGTGGTAGAGTGCTTGCCTAACATGCATGAAGCCCGGGGTTTGATTCCTCAGTACCATATAAGCAGAAAAAGCTGTAAATGGCGTTGTGGCTCAAGTGGTAGAGCGTTAGCCATGAGCAAAAAAAAGCTTAGGGACAGTGTCTAGGTCCCAAGTTCAAGCCACAGGACTGGCATAAACAAACAAACAAACAAGCAAATAAATAAATAAAACCTTTTTGCTGGGGGCCAGTGACTCTTGCCTGTAATCCTAGCTACTAAGGAGGCTGATATCTCAGCATCTCAGCCTCAGGACTAGCACACGCATATACATACAAAACCTTTCACAGCTGGGTGTGGTAGTACATGCCTATAATCCCAGCTACTCAGGAAGTGGAGGCAGGAGAACTGATTGTTCAAGTCCAACCTAGGTGAAGTTAGTAATGAGCCACTATCTTGGAAAACCAAATACATAACCACAGTACACGTATGGAAATGTCTCAATAAATTCCCCTTTTACAACAAATAAATACACGCTAGTACAGATGTGTTTTCATGTGTATACATACCAAAGGACAAAGAGTATACCTCAAGTAATACAGTACTTGTTTAGTATCTAAAGCCCGAGGTTCAATCCCAAGTACTAAAAAAGAACAAAAGAGATAAACACTATCCTGAGTTTATAATTCACATATATTTCTTTAGGAATATATTCATACAGAACAAAATAGAATATAGCCGGGTGCTGGTGGCTCACACCTGCAATCATAGCCACTCAGGAGGCTGAGGTCTGAAGGTTAAGGTTCCAAGCCAGCCTTGGCAAGAAAGTCTGTGAGTCTCTTATCTCTAATTAGCCACCCAAAAACCAGAAGTGGAGCTATGCCTCAAAATGGTAGAGCTCCGTAGCCTTGTGCAAA